TCGAAATGATTCAGAGGAGGCTTGGGAGAAAGTGCTGTGGTCAGATGAGACCAAAATTGAGCTCTTTGGCATTAATTCGACTTGCCGTGTTTGGAGGGAGAGAAATGCTGAAATGCACCATCCCTACAGTCAAGCACTCTGTTAAAATAAACCTACCATAAAAATTACAGACCCTTCATTTCATTTTGTAAGTGGGCAAGCTTACAAAATCAGCAGGGGATCAAATAAAGATTTTCCCCACTGTGTATATATATATATATATATATATATATATAAATAAAAATAATTCTTTCAATTTTAATAGACAAAAAAACGGTTGGTAGCGGATAAATTGTATGTCTTACACAAATGAAAATGATGAATGTTTGCAGAACATTTTATGCAAATAGCTCACTGATTGCAGGTTATGTTTGCAGTTCAAAGGCTCATGAACTGCAAACATTGCTGTTTTAGGCTTGTGCTCAATATGTGTGGAGAGGAAAAAAGACTTCAATGCTGATTCAAGATCCTTTGGTGTTTATTGCTGGTTGGCAAATAGCTTTCAGTGCATTAGCACCATGAAATGTTGATATCTAATCGATTTAGATTTATTTATTGCAGGATGAAGAAAAATAGCATGACACACTGTCCAAAGGAAAAAACAAACAAACTTTGTGCCAAATATTTACATTTGGTGTGAAAGGGTCTTTAGACCTGCTGTTGTCTATGATATGGTTATTATTAGTCAAATAACAATGGGTCAGTGACAAATAAAGATGCTTAATAATTTTCCATGGTGTGATATAATTGTGTTTAATGGTTTTCCTTAACTGTCCTGGTAATTTGTTTATTTTATCTGATAACTGGCATGTGTTCAACAGCATACTGGTTTTATGGGAATATCATCAAATTTCACTGGCATTGGTATCGACTACTGAAACTGTGATTATTGTGACAACCCCATTCCTTCCAGATGAGAAATGACTCCAGGTTTGTTCTGATCCACAACTTAGATTTTCCCCAAACGTGCATAACAGTGATAAGCTCTGTTACTATGACTTATCATCATACATTTTAAAATCGGGAAGGCTATGGCCATGTTGAATTTTTCATATCATACTCACAGGAACTCTGTCTGGGTACTTGTTGCGGATTTTGGCCGACTCCACACACCTGTGCTCTGAATGATGGATGCAGAAAGACAAGACATCGATCAGCCACCATGCAATGCTCTTCACATCATTAATATTCATTAGAGAGTGTTTGGAACACGAATGGATTCTCATTAGTCATACTCATCCGCATTCATTTTTAATAATTATAAATAGATTTAAGACTACACACAAGCACACACATTGTTCGACAGTGTAACTAACAGTGTTGGGAAGGTTACTTTGGAAATATAATAGCTTACAGATGACAAGTTACCCTATCTAAAATGTAATAAGTAGTGTAACTATTTCAATTACTTTATTAATGTAATGTAACGGATTACATTTGATTACTTTTCTACATTTCTAATGTTTTCAACTGTTTCAAACATGTAAAGCAGGCCGGGTTAACTTTACAGTACTCAACACTGATTATTGTCTTACTTTCGAAATCCTTCATCACTTGAATAAGGTTATAATAATTAAATTTTAAAGCACAGCTACCACAAAATCAGACTTACTTTGAGGTCATTCTGAGGTTAAATACAGATTTAAAACCATAATAAGAAATAGTTTAGTAGCTATGATACTGTTTTTAAAATGAAATCTTTGTTAGTTATGACAGGAAATCAATCAAATCTGTATGTGAGTGTGTGTAAAAAAATCAGATGTAACATTTTCACAAGTAACTGTAATTTAATTACACATTTTTTATCAGTAACTGTAACGGATTACAATTACATTTATTTTGTAATTGCATTACGTAATTTAGTTACATGTAACATAAGCTCAATTACCAAATATTTACATACACATTAGACATGTGAATATCTCAAAGTCATATAAAACATTAATGCATTTGTATGCTAAACATGACATGCTAAAACGAAAGAGAAACAATCACACTGCTATCAACTGCTGATAAAACAACCAGAGGCTGACTCTCCTACGGTGTGATTGTCGTTATTAATGTCGTTATTATGAGCAGCACACAACAGGCCCGACATCAGCAGATAAATGAAGTCTTAGATCGCAAGCTGAGCTAGATCGAGTTAGCAGGTAAAAGCACCAGACTGACCAACAGATCAATAACTACTCGCATCTGACAGGCCGTTGTTGATAATAACATGACAGTTTCGATGACTTACCCAGAGAATGGTCCTCTTTAAACATCCATTTCATTTTTGCAGAGGTATTGCTCGAGGAGCGACCTGTTAACGAAAATATCTGATGATTTGAAGCCAACGAAATCTCAAAACTAAAAACGTCAACAACGTAACGGCGGCAGACGTGCGTCTCCAGACGAGCCGTAGTGACGTCACCGCGACAGCGCGCTACGTCACGGCGCGGCTGACTGTACCATTCGCTCGATTCCGGGGTTGTTTTCTCACACGAGTTCGTACATTTTGCAGCAGCTACACTTATTCGATAGCAGAAACCGAGTGATTAAACTCATAAGTTTTGTTTGTAAACGTGATTTAGATGAATTCATATGTAATAATGCGCATACTTCGCACAAGGCCGAGTTTCGCGCTGTTGATATGGTGAACAGATGACGCCGCGCCACCGCTTCGTTTGCTAACTTATTCACAAGTTTGGACTTTATTAGGTTTTTGCCCCAAAAGTGTTATACTATTTAGACGAAATAGATGTTTGTTGATCGTTGCTGGTGAATGTATTTGACCATGCACGCCGGATATACACGCGCTTAATGGTGTTGGATGGGAGTTAATATTTAACTGCAGTGTTATTAGCAACAATGGCTTTTTATGAGGTTTACACCCATCCCGCTTTAATAAGATACAGAACACGCGTCTGCACGAGAGCGACGCTGTTTGTCTGTGTGGTGTTATGCCTCACGTATATTTCTCCTCTTCTGGTGGCTTACAGAAGTCAAGGTAAGCTGCGTTTTATTGCAAGCAATTCATTTCCAGATTCCAGAGATCGTGTGATGACATGAAGCGACTGTGCTTTACGAACAGGCTTCTGGCTGAAGAGCAGCACATATGAAGAGCAAGCAGTCATTCAGTTCCAGTATGACATGATCGTGATCGGAGCAACAGACACAGCAGGGAGCTATATAGCATGGAGCACGTTTCCCAACTTTAATCGACTGATGGGAGATAATTTACGCATCCCATCTGTCTCTGTGAGAACGAAACTTTTTATGTAATTAATTTGTGCACTCTTGCAATAGTAAACTCTGGAAGCATATGTGACCCTCGACCACAAAACCAGTAATACGGGTCAATTTATTATGAATAATAAAGCTGAATAAATCTGAATAAATTATCTTTCCATTGATGTATGGATTGTTAGGATAGGACAATATTTGGCTTACAACTATTTGAAAATCTGGAATCTGAGGGTGCAAAAAAATCCAAATATTGAGAAAATCATCTTTAAAGTTGTCCAAATGAAGTTCTTAGCAATGCATATTACTAATCAAAAATTAAGTTTTGATATATTTACGGTAGGACATTTACAAAATATCTTAATGGAACATGATCTTTACTTAATATCCTAATGATTTTTGGCATAAAAGAAAAATGGATAATTTTGACCCATACAATGCATTGTTGGCTATTGCTACAAATATACCTGTGCTACTTATGACTGCTTTAGTGCTCCAGGGCCACATATTAAAGCATGGTTTGTTCGTTATTCAGGTCCAGGAGGAGGACAGAGACCAGGATGGGAAATCTGACCTCCTCACGCTCCAAATCAACATCCCACTCAAGCCAGAAGAACAGATGTTCGGCATCCAGCTCCTCCTTACCTTCTCATACCAGCTGTTTGTGTGTATTCAGTGCATTCCTACACGCCACAAATCCAACGCCTCACTCTAAATGTGCAGTGTTAATATCTTTCTCCATCTCTCTCTATCTATGACTTATCTGTCTCTCTGTCTGTCTAGCGAATGTCTACGGTTGTGATGCAGACGCTTGCCTTTGTGCAGCATTCCTCGCCTGTCCCAGGATCTCAGCTGTTCGTCTGCGGAGACCTGAAGCTAAACCAGCGAAGCCCTCTTCCTCACCGAGGTTTGCATAGTATCTACAACGTGAGTATAACCCGAGAACCCCGGCGTATGACCTACATACAGATTAATCTGATGATTCACTCATTGCTGGAAACCGGTTTGACTTGCGAAGCTGCAATGTTGTCAAAAGCATGTCAACAGGAAGATTGTGAATAAAAAAAATTCAGCAATGGAATTATTTGGAACGTATTTGATTTGAGTGCAGATTGTGTTTTGCTAGGTATCGCTGATCGATGCATCCAGTCCGTTTGCGAGTACATATGACCTGGCCAACATCATTAGACTCTACCAGCAGAGAAACTGTAAGATAAGGAACATATAATTATTGTCATGAATATGTCCAGAGCCTCTCTCGTCATCCTTGTTTTCGCTTCATTGCTTTCAAAAATCAGAGATTTGCATTGACTCTAGGCTGTATTTTTCAGTGGCGTCCTCCTCTAGGATGCTCTGAGTTTATTTCTGTGTTCATCACCTGCTAGGGGTGTAACGGTACACGTATTCGTACCGAACCGTTTCGGTACGGGTCTTTCGGTTCGGTACGCATGTGAACCGA